ACAACAATTAAAATCCGAGTTCCATAACAAAGTAAAATATTATTTATTTAGTATAAATTACAATTTGGAAACATAGTGTCATTAGATATACACCTATGATACATTTGTTTTTATTATGGTTCTCTTAAGATTAAGTAATCATCAGCTTACTTCACTGCTTGACATTGACTGATTGATTGTCCATATCTTTATCCACATAAGGATTGTAATCGCTGTGTACATAAAGACCACAGGGAGCGGATACGCCATGCTGTGGTGTGATCAGCAGGGATAGAAAGTAACCGTCAATGTCTAGAAGGTGGACGTCGTTACACTGAAGCCTGGCGTTGCAAACGATGATGTGACCAAGAATATCAGTAGCAAAAAAGTTCTCGCGTACAATAGTATTCCATAAGATTATATAGAGCAATAACCACAATTCGTGAAAAGTTTGTCCCGCTTATCAAGTGTCAATGACTATCTCGCGAAAATAAGGTGTCGCGAAAATTTAGTGATCTACAGTAGCAAGCCGCCCAGGGGCTCCCGACTTGAGTAGGAGAACCGATGTTTTCCTGATTATTCACCACAACCACGGCGTGTTTGTAGAAATCCGATGTGCATATATCTCTATTGATGTTCTCTGTAACATAATATGGCGTCTTGTACAGTTGCCTACCCGAATCGTCTCTCTGTATGTCCAAAATCTTCTTTCCCATTTTGCTGTACCTTGTTAGCTCTGCATCTTTTTCGTCACTCGTGCAGTCCAACCAGAACATATCCATTTAATGAAGTTTACTTTTCAAGTTGTTTTTAATATATACATGTTCTAAAATCCTGCATGGAGTTTCTTCATAGTTGTAATGATTTATTCAATATGCTATAAGTTATAATATAGGATTAAAATAAACAAGTTGTACAATATATATGTGGTTTTTGGAGACCAGGTATTCCAACAATCTATTGGAATTCCCATGGGTACAAATTGCGCTCCGTTATAAGCAGAATTATTTTTATATTCATATGAAGCAGAATTTATGCAAAATCTCACGCGTGAAAAGAAGAAAACACTTGCTGTGGCCTTCAACTCGACATTTAGATATATCGACGACGTATTATAAATTAACAATCATTATGGTTATTTCCATTCCTACGTCGATACGATATATCCTAGTGACCTTGAGATAAAAAATAGCACAGAGTCTGACACTTCTGTTTCATACTTAGATATTTTTACTTGAAAAAGACCTAATGGTAATCTAACAACCAAACTATATGATAAACGTGATTACTTTAACTTTTCTATAGTCAACGTCCCTTACTTATGCAGCAATATACCTTCATCACCTGCATACGGAGTTTGTATATATCTCAGTTGATTCGATATGCAAGAGTATGCTCTACGTATGAACAATTTCTAAAATGAGGTGAATTATTGACAAACAAGTTGATGAAACAAGAATTTCAGCAGTCTCGTTTAAAGTCATCATTTCGTAAGTTCTATTGTCGATACAATGACCTTGTCAGCAAATACAATTTATCATTGAGTCAAATGCTGACTGACGTTTTTCATACCTATTGTTAGTCCATTATTTATACACTGAATTGACGACGGTTTTAACCGTTATTTCCTGATCATGACAAGGAGCACACGGCGGGTGTGACCGGTCAGCAGGGGATGCTCACTCCTCCATTGCACCTGATCCCACCTCTGATGTTTCGGGAGTCCGTGTTGCTCAGCTCTAATTTTGCATTGTTTTATGGACTTAAGAGATTGAAAACTGTTCGTTATCTCCATATCCTTCTTGTACACGGATATCCCCCTGATATTTCCAGATCATGAGAAGGAGCACACGACGGGTGTGAGAGGTCGGCACGGTATACTCAATCCTCATGGCACCTTATACCACCTCTGATGTTTCGGAGGTCTGTGTTTGATTAGCACCTATTTTATTTTCATGTTAAAAGGACTTTTGACTTCGAATATTAATGCTGTTCTTTATCTGCACATACGTATTTCAGTAAAATGTTTGGTAAAGCTTAAATTAGTTATAATTATTTTGTTTAAAAGAATGCATTCAATAACATCAAAAATTGTTCAAAAGAGGTGGTCAAAATATAATTGAAATTAGTTGCTATTGTAAATTAATCATATTTTAAAATTTGTTTTAACGTTGATGTTGAGTTTTCATTTAAACTTTATATACAAGGAGAGATATGTAATAAAACATTTTTTTTTCTAAAAAGCGAATCATACTTTTCCCGAATGAAGATTTATAACTAAAAGTAAATCCATTTCTGCAAACCACAGGATATTAAAGTACATGAATTGAAAAAAGGAAGTATTTAGTATAACATTATATGTATAAGGGTGTTGACTTGAAATTGCAGACGACTTGTTCAATTCATTTGTAATTGAAAACTTTTCGTTTTATATATCTTCCAAAATTAAATTAGAAAAAGATGAAACGTTGATTCCAGTTTTCTTTTCAAAGTTTTTTTAATTAATGCGAACAATTACTTAGAATGAGCTAATCTATTGACCAACAAATTCAGAAAAGAGGATATGAACAGTATCGATAAGAGTCATCATTTAGCAAGTTCTGTGGTCAATAAAATAACCTTGTAGGCAAATACAAATGTTTCATTAATTAACCGAATCACGACATGTGTTTTTGTACGATAGTTGCTAGGCCATTTTATACACAGTGATTGGTCAACTGTATGGCAATTTGTTATCGTCTGTATGTATAGAAAGTTAATTTATATATAAATATTAAAAATTTCTATATTTGCCACGTTTTCGTCAATAGGTAACCATTGCATGTTAAATTATTTTCTATTAATTAAAAATTCGTCCCGAGTCACATAACATTTAGATTGTCGAAAAACAAATAATCATTCCAAGACGTCACCTCTATTCACATCTTTCAGAAGGGTAGTAGTGTATTTGGGGCAAATTCAGTGATAATAAAGAACTTACCACGGAATATTAAACATGTTAAAGGCATTTAAACTTGAAAACAGGACAAAGATGTTGTATTTTAAGTTGGCCATTTAATCTACAGTCATAAAAAATAAAACAGGAAGTAATATATTTTGTTCGAAAATGGCAAAATGGAATTATGTAGTCTTAATAAAATGTGAGTAAACATATTTATCTCTGCTACTGATGAATTAATATTGTAATAAATTCCAATTTTAGCAAAATTGCCAGATGGGTAGAGAAAGGATCACTAATGAACGGTCTAGAAATCGATTTTACGTGTTCTTGCACATATCACGGAACACAAGCAATATAATGAAAAAAGTCTTGCATTCTAGTCTCATTGTTCCATCCGTACATGATGACGATTTTGATGTCAATGCTAAAGTTTTTGAGTTATCACCACCACTTAATTATGTTCCGAAAAAACACTTCTTGATAATGGATTGATATTTATTTATAATAAATCTTAAGTGGCCAAGGGGTGTACAGTATTATTCACATACCGCTTTCAGCTCTAGAACTATTTAATGTGAATCTTTCACTTGGTCGGTAGATACCGTGTATATAATAAAATATACAAGACAAGTCTTGTTGACATTCTCGTGTGATTTTGATTATTTTCACTTTCCTTTATACCTAACCATCGATTGCACTCAATTTTTGTCTAGAAAAATCCTTTGTTTCTGTCTCACATGTTACAAGTGTTGAAAACATCGCTTTAATAACTTTAAATTCTCTTTTAATGCTCTGTCACAAAGTCTTTAAACCATATTGTTGCCAGTGAAGACTGTCTAAAGAAAAAAAAAAGTTTAATTAATGAATAAGAGCATTTCTAATTTTTGGGTTTCATGATGTGATCAATCAAGTGATAATTTGCATATACACCGAAGTAGATTTATATAGAGATAAAGTATTTTTACTATTTAATTGTAATTTTATATCGGACAATGACAATGTGGAAATGTAAATATTTTGCAACATATGCGTTCATGAATAGCAATTAAAATTTTAAGAAAGGGATTCTTAAGGTTAACATTCATATTATTAGTGTGGAGGAATTATCTTCTGAATTAAGTATCCAATCATATTCTTATTTTTCTATTTCGTATATTTCAATGTTTCTGATGATCTTCCGAAATGAAAATAATTTGTCAGAATCAACTATTGGTAGAATTATCTAAAAGAAAGTAACGAAATTTGCTCATAAAAATAGTTTTAAAAATATATTTATTTTTGAAAAAAGAGAAAATGAATGTTTTGTTAATGTTTGCACTACATAAATAGTTCAAACAGATCGCAATAGACTTTTTTGTTATGTGGCTTACATGTTATTAACCAATAAAATTATTTCTGTATAAGTACGGAAATTAGTGTCGCAGTAAGCGGGTAATGTAATTCTTCCTGCAATAACTCCGACGTTAACCGATCTGTTGAATACAAATCGTTAGATATTATTTTCTACATGTAAGCTTGCTTATCCAATCAAGATAAAAGAATCATGACTTAGTAAAGCTTTGAATTTATTATTTTCTTTCAAAGAATCTATTAAATAACATCTAAGATTTCCCCCAAAGAATTGTTAAAAATGTTTGCAATTAGTTGATATTAAATATTTATCATATCAATCTGTTCTAAAAAAAATACGTACAATTTTTATGTAAACTTTATTTTACAAGGAGTGATATACTATTATGTATGAACTGTATTACAGATCGTTATCTTCTGTATATTTATAAAATCGAAAGTTAATCTATTAATAAATATGAACAATTTCTATATTTGTAACGTTTTCTTCAATACGTAACCATTCAATGTTGAATTATTTTCTACTAATTTAGTATTCGACCCGAGTCACATTACACTTAGATAGTTGAAAAAAATTAATTAATCCAAGACGCCACTTCTATTTACATCTTTTAGAAGGGTAGTTGGAGCAAATTCATTGATAATAAAAAACTTTTCACGAGGTATATTAAACATGTTAAAGGCATTTAAACTTAACAACAGGACAAAGACGCTATATTTTAAGTGGGACACTCAATCCAGTCAATAAAATTAAAACAGGAAGTATTATGCTCTGTGCGAAGATGGCAAAATGGAGTTATGTATTCGTAAAAGAGTGTAAGTAAATATTTTTTATCCCTGCTACTGAATAAATTTTTGTAATAACTTCCAATTTTAATCAATTGGAAAAGCACTGGTCGGTCTGGGAATCAATGTTTCTCATATGGAACGCAAGGATCACATGCAAAATATTGAAAAAGGTCCTGCATTCTAGGCTCATTGTCCTATCCGTACATGTATTTTGATATCTATGATAAAGTTTTGGAGCTAAACTAGTGAAAGTCACTAAGAAGACTAGTAAATTTACTGTCCATATAACCACTACACCAGAAACTGTTTTACTAAGCATTGAGCAGATTTACTAACATTATAAGTAAATTTGAAATTCATATGTAACTTTCACTAGGGTGGTATGTATTTATACGAACCCTGCTCCACGTGACACCTACTACTAGTACTCCTATGGTTGTTGGTATATAGAAATGAAAAGTGGCAGTAAGCGGGTTATGTATTTTTTCTGCAAGATATGCGATGTTCATTCCTATTCTTACAAACAAATAAGGACATCTTATTATTTACATTTAAATCTGTATGAATAGTACCGTATCAGAAATTGTTAAAGGTGACTGGTTTTTGGCTAGGAGTGAAAGGTGTACAGGTAAGGGACATGCTGCAGTTCTGTGTTCGAAACAATGACACTGTTAACCTGCGTATTATGAGGTCATTTTTTCCCCTACCTATTACCCTTTCCTCGAGATCAATACATACGAGTCATAGCTGGAATTACCGGTTGCAGTGAATGCATGCTTCACTAGGACACCAGTTTCCTACCTCTCCTGTTTTGAGATTACTTGTTTGCTCTGCTTTCACTATAATTTAATTTATATTTTTGAGCTTTATAACTTTTTTTCATAAAAATGCAACAATTTGCCACATTTCTCCAACAAGATATGATTGATGCGATATGAATTACTATTGTGGTTAATTTAATTCAATAAAGTTTAGACAATTTCTCAATTTGTAAAGAATATAAATATTATCACTTACTTCGAAAGTTCGATTAATTGATTGTATGATGTTTAACGTTCCTTTCGATAATTTTTTTCACTCATATGGAGATGCCACCGCTTGCCGGTGGAAGGGCTACAAATTTTGTCCTACACTCGGTTCTCAGGGCCATTGAGCAGTGACGGATCTTTTTCGTGCCAAGATTGCGACATGGGACCTCAATTTATACTGTCTCATCCGAAGGATCAGTCGCCACGTCCCACAGTGGGATTCGAACCCGCGACATAAGGATTGGTTCCTTACTCCGCGACTCCAGAGCAGTCGCTCTAATCACTGCGCCACACGTGCGACCGAAAGTTCGAACATTGAAATAATTAGATTTCCAAGTGATAAATAGTTGATTAATGCTATGTCTTCTCATGGCTGGTTTTGATTAATGTTTTAAACGAATTTTGAATTTATTTTATAATGTGTTTAAAATAAATCAACTAACACACTACTACACTAATTCACATATCTACGTCAAATATCTGAAACATCTATGTCTCATATGATTGTTTTTCGTGATGTTAAAAAAAAACCATGTGCTTGATCACAGACATTATGCATATGTGATTTTTTCTTAATATAATATATATTTTATTTCACATAATAGTGTTTAAAAACTTAAAAACTAAACTAAATGAATATCAATATTGTAACAAACTGGAAATTTAACTTAAATTAAAAACCTGCTATACGTGCGAACAATTTCTAGAATAAGCCAATTATTGACAAACAAGTTGATGAAAAAAGATACGAGGGTTGATCCAAAAGTAATGTCACAACTTTGATAAAATTGCTATAAATCGAGGTAAAACAACAAAATTATACACGATAAAACTTTATTTATTTCGAATCAGACCTGAAAAATACAAAGGAATATGAGGTATACTTTCTAAAATATCGGATTTTAAACAATGTGCGTTTATGGTACTCGCCGCACCTAAATAAAACGTCATATGATGGATACGCGCCGTCCTTTATACTTTTAAGCGTTTCCCATTCGTTTCATTTAAAAAAAATATTTTTGATTCACAAACACCTTCACCAACTTCACTTTCTTTAATAATTCTTGGTACCACTATACACTCATTCTTATAATTAAGCCCTCTGTCATTGTTTTAACAGTAGCATAAGGCAAACTTAAAAATTCACATGTCACTCTATCCGTCTGTGTTTTTTTGACAACGTCAGACACTATTGAACGTTTCCGTCCGATCTTTCGGTCTTCTTGTCCTCTGCTGATCATTCAATGCCCTATCATCCGCCCAAAATTACTGAAACCATCTATAAAGAAGTCTCTTATTTACATAATCTTTCCTCCGTGAGTCTAATTAATCATCGTAACTGTCTCTATTGGTGATTTCCCTATTTTGAAGCAAAAATGCATTACAACTCGTCGAGCCGTTTTTCTCATTTCGACAATCCCTTTGTTCAATTCAAGAGAGTAAAACAACAATGTTTATGATCACAAATACCAATGCCGTCATTTAATTTTCAATTAAAGAATAGAAAAGAAAATGACGAATTGTGTCTTTTTGGAAAAAATGAGAGATTTGGTGTTTTTTTAGAATCTTTTAAATGTGTTTGTATTTTTCATTCTAAGAAAAAAATACACTTTAAAATGTGACGTTCAGTTGTGACGCGGCGACACCTCCTATGCTTTATGTTTTAAACATCTACAAAATAAATTTAAATAAACATTATTAAATGAAAATTTCAATGATTATTAGATTTGTATTTGTGCATCTTTTGGTACATTGTATTTTATAATATGACGCCAAATCTAAAAGATATGGACACTGTGACATTACTTTTGGATCAACCCTCGTATATACGATATCAGTAATACTTTTGCAAGTTCTATGGTCGAAACAAATACTTGTAAGCAAATACAATTTATCATTAACTTGAATCCTGACAGACGTTTTTTAAAACTAGTTGTTAGACCATTTTTAATTTAGAAATTCGTCAACAGATTTTTTAGTCATGACAATAAGCACTCAGCGGGTGTGACTGATTGACAGGGGATCCTTACTCCTCCAAGTCACCTGATCCAGTGTTTGCTCTGTTCCAATTTGTGTGGTTTAAAAGGACTTATAGCGGGATTACAGTTCGTATTATGTCTCATACAATTATATATACTATTATATAGAATGTTCAATCGAAAGTTAATTTATATATAAATATGATAATATTTTTTATATTTGTCACGTTGTCTTCAATCCGTAACCATTCAATGTTAAATTCTTTTTCATTAACCTGAGTCACATATCACTTGAATTGTTCAAACAAATAAATGTTTCCAAAACGTCACTTTTATTCACTTCTATTCACATCTCTCAGAAAAGAAGCAATTTCGAAACATGTATTTGGGGAAAATTTATATATAATACGGAACCTATAACGAGGTGTAAAAGGCATTTAAAACTGAAAATCAAGACCAGGATCTTATATTTTAAGTAGTAGTATTTTATTTGCTGTCATAAAAATTTAAAACAGGAAGTAATACTTTTGTACAAAAATGGCTAAATGGAAAAATATGAGTGATTTCAAATGTAAGTAAATATTGTTTTATCTCTGCTACAAAATAAGAAAAATGTACTAAATTTAAATGTAAAATAATGCCCAAAGGCAAGGTGGGGATCACTTCGATCTGGAAAGTAAATACACATGTTTAATAATATGTTAGGAAAGTCCTGAATGATGTGTTCCATCCCTACATGTAGTTTTGATCTTGAATTAAAAAGATAATTTTATATCTATAAATAGAAACATGTGATTTTTTTTTATACTTGAATCGGCCGTGTCGTCGGTAAAACCCCAGTCACATTTCCAAAAACGACCAACAGCCGACGGGTTTTGAAGCAAAAATGGGATTCTTCGGGTGACAGTCGTCAGTTCATCGGCCGTTGTCTTGGCCGATTTTGACTTATTTTTTTATCGGCCGACCAATTTTGTGTCCATCGGTCAAAGTTATAATTTTTCATGCGTCGGTGGCCGATTTCGTCAACTGCAGTTATCCGTGGACCAACCTTCGATCATCGTCTGACCAACGGCGGTCAGTTTATTAAGTCGGTCGTCCGTCGTTGGACAATAAGGGTGTTGAAAATTTCGGCCGACGGTTAAAATCGAACTGTAGCTCAGAGTTCGATGATCGGGCGACGATTGGCCGACTTGTGAATATTTAACCTATTAAGGATACATAACACAAACAAAATTTTAATGCATGGATTGATATAAATTTTTTGAACGGAAATAAAATAAATAATTAATCCGTAAGATACATGTGTATAAAGTAATCCTAAGTTTTCTTTTCTGCTTAGATATGCAGCATTTGCCGTTTTTATGCTATTCCATACAAATTTTGCACACATTTTCAACATTGAGTCACACTTCTATAAGATTCTGCCACTTTGCCTTGCAAACATTACTCACGTCCCCTATTTGAATATAGATCTATGAAAAAAATGCTGATTTCTAAAGAAAAAGGATTTTTTTGTGTTATTAATCCAAGTCATTGGTGTCCCTAGGAAATAATGTGACTGCTCTGTGTTGCCCGATACTGTGTCGGCCGATCCTGTTCTTTCAGCCGACAAGACCAGAAAAAATTTGTCGCCCGACCATCAGCTTAAATGTTACCTAGGCATTAGACAGCTATGGCCCTTTGATGTTCATATGCAACACTGATATATCAACACGAACTGACAAGTAAAAGAAAAAAAATAAATTGAGGAGAGAAATTTTGAACTTGCAACCTTAGTGCACAATAAATTTGTGGGTGTAAGGGGTGTGGTGTGGTGCATGGAGTTAAGGAACAGTAATCAAGCTATATTCTAAAAAATCTGTACTCATATGGAACAAAGCAATTTAAACAAATATAAAAATCATCAGAATCAACAGGTGGGACCAGTGCCAGGGAGAAGTACAAAACCCTTATTGATCAGTCTCACCCTCCGTGTGCCTCGTGACATGATCATGCAATCGGAAACAGCAATAGGAAATTC